AACACCAGACACCTCCCAACCAGGGTCGGAGCTGCAGCATGCGCACACAGAGCGCCTCTGCTGCGCGCCCACCAAGGGCTGCTGTGGGCTTTAGGGTAGGGGCAGCCGAATTGGCCTTAAAAGAAGCAAGAGTTTGTTCTGGGCAGAGTGAAGGCTTCGAAGGGACAGGATGCAAGTCTGCTGAATCTTGCAGCAGATGAGTGGAAGGGAAGGCGCACTTGCTTCCCTAAAGGGCTGTCTGCAAACACAAGAAAGCTCGCCCTGTTCCTGGACGGGGAGCCGTGCTGTGCCCCTGACTGTTTGTGTTGGCTCTGCTGAGTGAAGCCATGCGAGCTGTTGCTGGCCAGGGCAGGAGGCTGTAGCTGGTCGGGATGACGTGGCCGGAGGTGGTCAGGGCGGAGTATTTTCTGACTGCACAGTTGAAACCTAAGAAGGGGACAGCCAGGGCTCATCTGAAGGGTGGGGTCAGTCCTGACCTGATTGCCATGTTAGGCCTAGGCTGGGGGTCCAGGAGGGTGGGACATAATAGAGCCTGTTGTTGGCTAGGTGGTCCGGGTGAAACTGGGATTCAAAGCCTTTTGCACACCTCCACTGAGGCTGAAGACAGTGCCAGGATGGGCCTAGCGCCAGGGCTGGGGTCCTGGACAACAGGGTGGAATCAGGGCTACTGGGTTTGGACACAAGGTGGGCCTTGGAGAGATGCCCTACCTCCTGAGTGTTTCACTGCGGGGGCCTGTTCACCGGCCAGCCTGGCTGCGGGTGGGGTGGCAGCCAGCTGCAGGGCAGGGACCATACCTCTTGGCAATGCCTGGGCTTCCTCTTGGCCAGCTCCAGAGCCAGACGTGCAAGCAGCCTGCTGATTCTGCTCCGGAAGGTCCCCTCCTTCCTGGTCATAGGCGCTCCTCACTTGCCCTAGTTCCGACCTTGCATCCCTCCCACTCCATCTGCCTCTAGGCCCACCTGTGGGCCCCTGCCGGAATTCCCTTTAGGAAGCCCAGGGCTGGTTGTTTGCAGGCCCCAAACTCCTGGCCTTTGGGAGACTCAGCCTCCATGGCTTTGCGCGGAGACATCTGGCCTGGTCTCAGCTTCCTTCTGCACATCTGTCTGCCCTGTTCAGTCCCAGCAGAAAAACTCCCATTCTGCTACCCAGGTCTTTCCATGACCACCCGTACTTCTCAGCACTCTCCGCGCACTTGCAATGAACGGGCTTCACAGCAAGGCGGTTGTGTGTGTGTGATGGTGGTGGTTTTGCTTTGAGGGCCTGCTGTGTGCACTGTTCTAGACCAGGAGATTCCACAGTAAACTAGACCAGGCCCTGGGACTTATGGGGCTTCTTTTCTGTGTTTTGTTTGTTTGTTTTTTGCGATGGATTCGTACCCTGTCACCTAGGTTAGAGTGCAATGGCGCCATCTTGGCCTACTGCAACCTCCACCTCCCTCCCGGGTTGAAGCAATTCTCCTGCCTCAGCCTCCTGAGTAGCTGGGATTACAGGCGCTTGCCATCATGCTCGGCTAATATTTTGTATCTTTAGTAGAGATGGAGTTTTGCCATGTTGGCCAGGCTGGTCTTGAACTCCTGACCTCATGATCTCCCGCCTCAGCCTCCCAAAGTGCTAGGATTACAGGCATGAGCTACTGTACCTGGCCCATGAGGCTTATTTTCTTTTTCTTTTTTTGAGATGGAGTTTTCTCTTGTTGCCCAGGCTGGAGTGCAATAGTGCAATCTTGGCTAACCACAACGTCCACCTCCTGTGGGGCTTATTTTCAAATGCAGAGTAATGAACAACAAAAAAAGATTCCAGCTACTTGGGAGGCTGAGGTGGGAGGGTGGCTGGAGAGGAGGAGTTCACTACCAACCTGGGCAACATTGTGAGACCTCCATCTTAAAAAATAATTAAAAAGCCAACTATAAGAGCAAGATGGTTTTGGAAAACACTTTGATATTAATTTAGTAAAACTGAGTGATTTGATGGCATGGCTAGGTGAAGGGAGTCAGGGAAATTTCTCTCAGGAAGTAGCTTTTGAGCAGAGCCGTCAAAGGAGGAAGCAAGCCAGGCAGATAGATTGGGAAAGGGCCCCCCAGGCAGTGGAGCCGAAAGTGCAAAGCCCTGAGCCAGGAGCAGGCTCCATCTTTTCAAAGAGCCCACAGATGTGGCTGAGTGTGAGAACAGGGCAAGGGCAGTAGATGAGGCTGGGAAGATGGGCCCTGGGTCCTGCAGAACCTCAGAGACCATTGGAAAAAACTTGGTCTAAGACCTTCTCTTTATACAACCTACCATGTACCTACAAACATTAAAATTAAAAAATTTTAGGCTGGGCACGCAAAATCCCGGCACTTTGGGAAGCTGAGGTGGGCGGATCACCTGAGGTTTGGGAATTTGAGAGCAGCCCGACCAATATGGAGAAACCCCATCTCTACTAAAAATACAAAATTAGCCAGGCGTGGTGGCGCATGCCTGTAATCCCAGCTACTCAGTAGGCTGAGGCAGGAGAATTGCTTGAACCCAGGAGATGAAGGTTGTGGTGAGCCAAGATCATGCCATGGCACTCCAGCCTAGGCAACAGGAGTGAGACTCCATCTTGGAAAATCTTTTTATTTTCTAATAATTTTAATTTTAATAATTGTTATTATTTGTAATAATTTGTAATACATAATAATTGTATAGAAAAGTTAATAAAGGGGCCGGGCGCGGTGGCTCA